GCCACGCTTCGAGAGCTGCTTTTATTTTGAAGACGGAGGAACTTTATTTAACAGGAAGTGACGGTTCTGTTGTTTCTCCTTTTTCAAACTGGTCCCAGTCCAGACCAGGACTCAACACTGTCTAAATGTGTGGAATCTGACCTGGAATCAGTTCCACTCAGACTGAATGCAGCCTGAAGCTCGTGTCAGTCTGGTCTGAGCTCAGCTCCGTCACGTTGAGTTTCAGATTATTGGACCAGCAGTTTAATCCAGCAGGGTCATCGCCTAAATAAAACCAGTAAAACCAGTTGTAAACCTGCAGCCGGTCTCCAAGAGCTGCTCACTTCTCCATTGGCTCTTGTTTTAGTCCAAAAATATGCCCTAAATGTTTTTAAAACTTGGTGAAACGAAGAAATAAAAATAAAATGGATTAAAACAGTGAATCTGGTCTAAAACTCAAATACCTCCCTTCGAATGAAAGACTGATCCAGAACTGTTGAGACTGATCCAGAACTGTTGAGGCTGGTTCTGAACTGTTGAGACTGATCCAGAACTGTTGAGACTGATCCAGAACTGTTGAGGCTGGTTCTGAACTGTTGAGACTGATCCAGAACTGGTGAGACTGGTTCAGAACTGTTGAGACTGATCCAGAACTGTTGAGACTGATCCAGAACTGTTGAGGCTGGTTCTGAACTGTTGAGACTGGTTCAGAACTGTTGAGACTGGTTCAGAACTGTTGAGACTGATCCAGAACTGTTGAGACTGATCCAGAACTGTTGAGACTGATCCAGAACTGTTGAGACTGGTCCAGAACTGTTGAGACTGGTTCAGAACTGTTGAGACTGATCCAGAACTGTTGAGGCTGGTTCAGATGTTGAGACTGGTTCAGAACTGTTGAGACTGGTTCAGAACTGTTGAGACTGGTTCAGAACTGTTGAGACTGGTCCAGAACTGTTGAGACTGGTCCAGAACGGTTGAGACTGGTCCAGAACTGTTGAGACTGGTTCAGAACTGTTGAGACTGGTCCAGAACTGTTGAGACTGGTCCAGAACTGTTGAGACTGATCCAGAACTGTTGAGGCTGGTTCAGATGTTGAGACTGGTTCAGATGTTGAGACTGGTTCAGAACTGTTGAGACTGGTCCAGAACTGTTGAGACTGGTCCAGAACTGTTGAGACTGGTCCAGAACTGTTGAGACTGGTTCAGAACTGTTGAGACTGATCCAGAACTGTTGAGACTGGTTCTGAACTGTTGAGACTGGTCCAGAACTGTTGAGACTGGTTCTGAACTGGTGAGACTGGTTCAGAACTGTTCAGGCTGGTTCAGAACTGTTGAGATTGATCCAAAACTGGTGAGACTGGTCCAGTACTGTTGAGACTGATCCAGAACTGTTGAGACTGGTTCAGAACTGTTGAGACTGGTTCTGAAACAGTCTAAGTAACGTTTTAAGTGTAAGATGACTCTGATGGTTCTGTTTCGTGCTGGCCCGGTTCATATTTCTGATCTTGAACTTGTCCAGCAGCCTCTCTTCTTCTAAAGAGGAGCTCCAGCAGACCTGCTGCTGATCCGCTCTCTGATGTGAAACCAGTCTCCTGATGAACCCGGGTCCGTCCTGCTGGGGTCTGCAACCTCTCTGGGCCTCCTTTGAGCCTCAGTCCGGACCCGAGGCGGGTCTCCCGGCCCTCTGACGTGTGTTTTCATGCACCGAGCGTGAAGAAACGTGCAGGCCGCTAATGAAGATGGAGGCTCTGGGTTTCCTCTGAGTTTTCTGTAGCCGCTGCCTCGTCCGTGAGCACGTCCTCATGAACTCCCGTTGTTGGCGCGCTCGCTGAGCGGACACGTAAACAAAGACGCAGACAAACGGCGGAAAAGCAATTAAAAATAAACGGGCTTGGACAGAAGAGCCTCGGAGAAGGAGATGACGGCTGCAGCCAAGTTGGTTTGATTTCTGCTGCCGTGGACTTTTTGTCAGCGTCCCGGGGCGTCGTCACTCTAAACTGCTAAATTAACCCAATTATTCTCTGCGAGCTGGAGCGGCGCCGCTGCCTCCGGCCCGCTTCGCTCTGCCTCCTCTGAGCTATGGGCCGTGCGTCGCAGGGCGGCCTGCGGAATCGGCCGAGTGATTACCGCACACTTTGCCTGATGAGAAACGACTGTTTGTTCTGGACTCTCTTGAACGTGACACGAGTTCCACGTCAACGGACTTCAGACGGGAAAGAAAAGCCTCCGCAACATCTCGCCCATAGTTGGTACAACTAGCTGGTTTCCGTGGCAACGAAGATGAAGATGGAGGTGAGCAAAGCTGGTGCCGTTGGTCAGACTGAACGGGGCCTGATGGTATGGAACCAGTCCTGAAACCTCCATTACTCACAAACCATTCAAAATGTGCTCGGCCCACAATGAGCGTCGAGCCTCTTGAAATTCATCCTCGTATAAAGCAAGCGTGGAGCTCTCCAACACCACTGTACACCCAGCCCGAAACCAATCTGGAACTGTGGATCTAAAATGAGTGAAAATGGGATCAAACCAGTGAGAAACCAGCTCAACTCTTAAAGTGTAAAACCAGCAACAGCCCAGTCCAAATTACTCCCAGGACAGAACATGTAAAACCCACAATGAAACTCGAACCGTAAATCTAAAACTGGTTTTAGAACCATGGAAACCCAGTTCAAACTGCATCTGAAATGGTTTAAACCAATGGACGGTTAGAATCTGTCCTGTGGTTAATCTGATATTTTGCTAACAGATAAACAAAAGCACCTTGAGCCTTTCTAACAGCTTGCATTAAGAAAGTCCGACTGTAATTCACAGAAAGTGCTCTCTGCTGTAAACTGAACTCTGAAGGTTTATTTAAATCCCGACCAGATGAACCCCGAACCAATAAAACTGAAGCCGGAACAATAAAGCTGCTGAAGTTTGTGCTTCTGGCTTCAAAGTCACCCCACCCTGATGGAAACGTGAATAAAAGGCCTTTGATGACTTTTAATTGTAGCTGAAGCTGAAAATAATCTGTTAATTTCAGTTAATCCTAGGTGTTTCACGGTGTGGTTGTGTGGCGGGGTCGTTGGCCCCCCGGATGACAGATGTGCTTCCTGCGCTGACGTGCTTCACGTGCATGGATCGTTCCGGTTGTCTCCTGGTTTTTGTCTGATAACTCGAGCAGAAGATATTTCGTGTCAGACGGAGTAACGATGTCTGATGAACCCGTCCCGAGGAGTTTCCTCTGCAGGAGCTCTGCCCTCTCTCAGCTGCACCTCCTCCGTTCGGCCTCTAATGGAGCTTTTGTCCTTCCTCCTCCTTCATGCGCCGCTCGCACTGAGCGCCGTTTCATTTACCGCCACCTAATGAAAAGCTCGTTTCCTCCGCCACGGTGGGAAGATGGAGTGAGGCGCCGTGGTCCCGCCTGCAGACACGCGGTCATCTGCAGCTCCCGGAGGCCGACTCGTCTGCAGCTCCATGAGCTCCTGTCGTCTTCCCCGCAGTGACCGGCTCGACGGCCTCCGTCACGCTTCAGCGCGAGCGGAGCGTTTTCTGCACTTTGGGTTCTGGGAGCTGCTCGGAGCCCAGACGTCACTTTATTCAGCTCTGATGTTTGCGTGGGCGCCGGCGTCTGAAAGCTGTCGTGTTTTTATTCATCCAGGAGGTGAAAAGCTCAGCGAGCTTTTGTTTGTCTCACGGGGCGGGGGCGCCGAGGGTCCAAGTCCAAAACCATTAAAGGATTGGTACAGAACCGTTAATGAGGACTGCAGGCAGGAAGCTGCGAGCTTGTTGTTTCCAGACTCGGAGTGCAGAGCAGGAAATAAACCTCAGATGTTCAATTTATGTTTGACGGCTGATTTAAATATGTTTACAGTCAAGATCCAAAATATTTCACTGGTTCTGGTTTGGGCCCAGTTTTTATGACTTGCCCTGATTCAGCTTCCTGCTATGTTGACTTTTAGCTAACATTCTGCTACTTTGAATATTGTATAGCTTTCTGTTCTGGAATTTTATAGAACAAGAAAATTAGTATGAGAAAACTAGTTGTTTTCTTCACCATGTTGGACCGGAGCAACATCCTCATTACCACAGAGGAGGCCTCGATCCTTAGGTCCATCTCCAGCTCCATCCTCCCATCACTCAGGAACAGGACTCACTGGTTCTGGATCATGGCCTTGGACTTGGAGGACCCAGGTTAGCTGAAGGTTCTGGCTTTAAGATGCCAACAGAACCACATGATCTTTAAAAACCTGAACCTTGATACCCAGACCATGAACATTAAAACAGGATCAGACAAGTCCAACCCACACAGAACCACTTCCGGTTTGAGCTCAGGACACAGACACAGGTCTTACTTTGGTTCTTCAGAAGCTCAACAGAACTTAAAGTATCTTGGTCCCAACAGAACGCTCCAGGGAACACGGAACCTTCTTTAACGCTTTGAACTGGACCCCCTTAGCAGGTCTACAGTGGTTAAGATCATTTCCATTGATCCAGAACTTGTACTGAGGTCTCCCTGTGGTGAGGACACGGAGACAGAGGTTGTCCTGTTACGAGGACTCTGAGACAGAGGTCGTCCTGTTATGAGGACTTGGAGACAGAGGTCGTCCTGTTATGAGGACTTGGAGACAGAGGTCGTCCTGTTACGAGGACTTGGAAACAGAGGTCGTCCTGTTACGAGGACTCTGAGACAGAGGTCGTCCTGTTACGAGAACACGGAAACAGAGTCGTCCTGTAACGAGGACTCTGAGACAGAGGTCGTCCTGTTATGAGGACTTGGCGACAGAGGTCGTCCTGTTATGAGGACTTGGAAACAGAGGTCGTCCTGTTACGAGGACTATGAGACAGAGGTCGTCCTGTTACGAGAACACAGAAACAGAGGTCGTCCTGTTATGAGGACTCGGAGACAGAAGTCATCCTGTTATGAGGACTCGGAGACAGATGTCGTCCTGTTATGAGGACTCTGAGACAGAGGTTGTCCTGTTATGAGGACTTGGAGACAGAGGTCGTCCTGTAACGAGGACACTGAGACAGAGGTCGTCC